TTACGATATTCAAATATTGGGCCAATGCAGAGCCGATTTGCAGCCGATATTCTGTGCTACTGGGGATAGACTAAGGGCGGATTGTTAGAACCAAAATATGACGAGAGCCCCAAATATGCCTCAATAAAATATTGCTGTGGAAAAAGATACAGGGCGTTTTATATCTATCAATTGTTATCAAAATCGGCACAGTGGCATAATTTCATACAGGAAATATTATATTATTTATTATTCTACAGTTCGTTACAGGGGACGCCGCGTGAATGATCCCTGATGAAGAAATCGACTGATAACTTCTTAGTCTTAGTCTATATATACATTAATGATCGGAATGAAAGTTCCTCAACAACTTTATCCAAAAAAATCATCAAGATATCGAGAATTGAAACGTCCATGAATAAATTATCAATCAAAAGCCTCGTCAGAAATCTGCTTGAAACCTTCAACGCTCACTGGTGGACGATAGTACCATTGAACATTAAGGGCCAAACTCAGGCTATTTCGAAGGCAAATTCGATTGAATTAATCATTCCAGAATTACGTCATTTGACAGGTTGCCGAGGGGCAAACATTGTACTTTGTCAAGATTTGTCATATGAAACCAGAATTAGTGGGATCATTTTCCTTGGAATCCGAGTTGGAACCCGAAAGAATTTCATGATTTTGTTTGGTGAAACTGTTATTATATTGTGGATGTGGCAGGAATGGCCAGGGCTATGCTCATCAAAGGTAACCTAACAGATAGTTTGTGTGCCCCTCAAGGAACCATGTCAAAATCACGTGTTCTAGAATGATCAATAGCCAATCTTACACAGTTTGCGTTACAGCGTCGCTGAAACCTGAATAAATAGGTAATTGAACTCAACAATAGTTATTTATGTATTAAGGGAATTATGAGGGCCTTAATTACCGATGGCAAAGTTTGCGTCCCGAGGGCCTCTGGCCCGAGGGACAGCAATTGCCTGAGGTTATTGAGGCTCAGTAATTCCCGTGATACATAGATAATTTTATTTCTGACTGATTTCATTCATTAGATACCTTCCCGATTGGAAGTTAGACATGTTTTTCCGTATAGTTTCAATGTCATCAGAACGTCAGATGATGATCTTGACTACCGCGAATAGGAGATTCCGTATTGCTACGTTACTGCGTCGTTGTTGCTATGCATTTCTTATTTGATTTTAGTTAGAGGGAATTATAGCATCTATAACATCCCAAGGGAGTTATGACCCTCATAATAGATATCGTAACTATGACGATATAAGCTTATAATGTCACTGTCAGAAATAAAATTCATTTTATACCAGCATCATTACTACTCCATTATTTTCAAATCCTGAAAACGGAACACAGTATCGAGTATTACCAAGTGTACCTTCTTGGTGTGAAATTGAATGATGTTCAAGTTCAGATCAAATTTGGGTTGAAAAATCTAACCTCAAAAAAGTTGTGTTCAAAACTACTCGGTACGAACCGTGTAACTAGCGCCCTCTAGGAGAGTCAGATATAAAAAAAAATTCATGCGATGTGTCAGGTTTCAAGGAACATCCATACAAGATTTCATTACAATGTTGCCAGTAGTTTCGGAATAATCGTGAAAAATTTGTAAAAAAATAATTTTTTCAACACCTTGTATCATGAAAACGGATGCCGTTACGACATTTTTTCACAGAGGAAACCCAACTTATTTTGCAATGTTCTACCTACTCGAGCAAGGAAGTTAGGTTTTTTTGAAACAGCCTGTATATCTTGATGAAAAATTTAGGGAGTTAAAGGGTTGATGATTTCTTTCTACGGGCATTCAGTCTGTCGTCCACCCAGTAACTTGCGAGACGAATTTCATTTTATTAGAAAGCATTCAATTCTGAGCCCGGGAAGACGACATTCTGGAGGGTTTTGCGAGAGGGCTTCTTCCACCCTACGATCGACTACCCGCGGCTAAGAATCCCTCCCGAAAACGGCTTATTAGGGTTCGTCCTGTCGAGGTGGCCTATCTCCAACCGACATAAAACCCGAGTTATTCTTGGATTTCAAATTGTTTATTTCGGGGGATGGAAGGTAGGCAGACCGAACGGTAATAAAGTCGAGGCTACGATGGGAATATCAACGCGATATATCTTTGAGGGTCGCAAAAGTGACGGAAAACACCTCTAAAATTTCGAAGGAAATAATGATACACACCTTATATTATTTACGACCTATATACCAATATACTGAAGACATTCTTCACAGTTCGGCTCGCAGAAGAAGAAAGAAAAAACTTGCTGAACTTTCAATTAGGCCAGGAAATAGTGAAAGGTGAATTTCTCCCATTTTACACTGCATGCCTTTCTGAGGCTTTATAATTAACCCCAAAATATGCACTTCATAAGGGCAAGCGCTTTTCATTTTGTGCAGAATTGGCGTGTTTTCCGCGATATCATACTGCCTGCCAGTGTAATATACGGAGGTTCAAACAAACTGAAGCGCTGATAATTGATGGCACGTGTTCTCGAATTGCTTTTCGTTAAAAAGAATTGAAGTTTTAATACCAAAAACACTCTGAAAAAATGTTAATGGAATGAAAGTGGGTTGCAGCATAAGATAGCATTGTGGTATGCAGCACTTGAATGAAGTAATCTGAAGATTCACATCAGCAAAACCAAAATAATGGTGATAGGAAGAGGCGACACACTAACAAATATAAAATCAGACATTGAAGATATAGTACAGACAAATAATATACTGAAGTACTTATATAGGAGTCATGATACAAAAAGATGGCAAAAATGAATGAGAAATAAATAGCAGAATAAAAAATGTTACAAGAATATATCATTCGCTCAACAACAATAACTTCACCAGGAAAAGAGAAATATCCAGGAAAACAAAACTCACAGTATATAAGATGTTCTTTGAACCAGTATTGACAAACGGATGTGAGAGCAGGACCATAACAGAAAGATAAAAAAGCAGAATATAGGCGATAGAAATGAAGTTCCTGAGAAGTATAGTGAATATAACGAAAAGGGACAGAAGACGAAATGAAATAGTGAGAGAAGAACTAGAGGTAGAACCCATAACAGAAACCATGAGAAGTCAACAGCTGAGGTGGTTTGGCCATTTGGTGAGAATGGAGGAAGGGAGACAAACAAAACAGATATGGAAAGCCAAATCAACAGAGAGAAAAACGAGAGGCCGACCAAGAAGAACATGGAATGACGAAGTGTCATACAACTTGGCGAAAAATAATATGGGCTGGAGAGAGGCGGAAGTATTAGCGCAAAACAGGAAAAACTGGACGAAGTTCATTTATAACTAAACTTATTTGGACCTTCCACTTTCGGGTGGAAAATGATTTTTTTATTTTACAAAGAAATGCACAAAAAACGACCAGGACGGGCTGAGAGACTTCGGTCAATGGCCTTTTGGGGTATATCCCTAATAAAGATGTTCTCTCTCTCTCTCTCTCACGACCAGGACTGTAACTTTTGGAATATTCGAGATAGGGTTTTGAAACTTGGTGGGTAGCAAGTATACCAAATTGCTCATTAATTGGTGAATTAATTTTTTTATATCATTTACAGTTTCACCGGAAACGACCCCAACTTTTGATTTTCGAATGGAACACCCTGTATTATATTCCATAATCGGTTAGGGATTATCATGACGAATCCAACGATACCAGGTTTGATAGGGATATTTCAAACGATTGAACAACCAAACTGGAACGAGCATATTATAAAAGAAATATAAGTTCATCTCACTCTATTAGACAGAAGTGAGCATCCATCATGTTTTCCACTGAATTTTCCATTCCGTTTGCGAGGAGTGACGACGGAAAGTATGGATGAGAATACATTTCGCGATGCGAATTCGATTGGGCCTATGAAATATCCTTTGCTGCTGCGTACCTATGACCAAATTATTCGCCACAATTCTTGACTGTATCGAGTGTTACATTCTATTACCTTTGATCTCATTCGCGATGCTTTTAGTGCACTTCAAAGCTTTCACGTCGAAAGAGATATTTGTTCGGAAAACTTATTTCGATTCGGGAACGAAACCAGATAGTCTCAGTTTTGCATCTCGTGTTTTTCGAGCTTCTACGGTAATGAGTTTGATATCGGTGAAATGAAGGTTTTTTTTTCGGAGGTGGTGAAAATTCTTTTTTCTACAAGCAAGCGTGATTCACCCTATACCCGCACGCAATTTAGTTTGGGAAGTGTCATTTTCCCGCACTAGTGCGGGAAAAACAAATATATGATAATATGGCAATATATGAGTGGTAGGTGATGGAATATGAGAGTTTGAGTTTGTTTGTTGCAGTATCAAGTATGTATGTTCAGAATCATCCATCAAATTGCACTATTTATTGTGAATATTGATAAATATTGAAAAATAAAAATTGATCATTATAAAATCTCCCTATAGATTTAGATTGATCTGATGGGAAACGATTATTGTTGTCATGCCAATCAATCCTCAAATGAGTTTGTTATTGTCGAAGTGACAGACACAGCGTAACTGTCATTTTCGATTCAGTGGAATTGCCACAATGTGATCAAAAACTTCCAGCTATAGGGATGCGATACAGATGCGTTATTGCCAACGAAGTCTTACGAAAGGTATGAGAAGCTATACACGCGTTTTATTGAATGGTGCAACAATAAAGAAATGAAAATACCGAATGAAGAAGAAGTATTTTTGGCTCATTTTCTAGAAGTGTCTGAATTCTAGAGACCAAACACCTTATGGGCCTGCTGGCTTCCGCAATGAACCTATACATAATGCGTCAAACTGTAAGTTCACAATAGCTATTACTGCTTGCCCGAACTCCGCTTCGCGTCGTTCGTGTCAACGGCAGTCGCGTGCGGGAAAGAATCACTTTCCGCACTTGTTAGGAAAATTACTATATGGACACCACGAAGGACCATTTCCTTCATGGTAGTGTGGGAATCCCTACATGTAGAATATTCCTTTTTGATAAGAGGGTGTTAATAAAGAGTCTTCGAACTTACCTTTGGTGGTCCGAAAGCCTTGGTTGATGGCCTTGGTGGTTCTGACGGCCGCCCTGTATATCCTCCAATAGAAGAAAAGCATCACGAACATGGGGATGTAGAAGGAGCCGAGCGCCGAATAGACCACGTATCCAGCCTCGTTAGTCAACTCGCATTTCCATGGGCAGTGCGGATTCTCTTCTTCAGCCTCCCAGGGCTGGCTCGTATTGGAAATATTTTCCCGGGTTGGCTGGAACAACAACCGAGGACTTGATAATACTTTGAAAAACTGAAATTAGAAGTAACAATAAAAAAACTATGAAAAGCTTCTTTCTACAAACGTCAGTAAAAGTATAATTTTTGACGCATGCTGTCAGTGTCTAAAATGTCAGTTTATGACACTGGTGTTAAAAGTAAATCACTCTTAGCACTAGTGCTGAAAGTGATTCATGTTTATGAGAAAATATGTAAACATAATTCAAAATGAAAAATCTTGGGAATGTTACCACAATGAAATATATTTCTGGTTGAAAATAAGAAACGGAGTGTTAGAGAAATGCTCAACTGTTTGAAGCAAATACTGGAGCATTATACAATAACAACTGAAATGATTTCCAAAATTGTTTACCAAACTGATGAGAGCATGGGGCATTCCTCGATATTAACCCTGTGAAGCTAGATGTAACCATAATGTTTCATCAGCGATCTAGAAATGATATGTACTAGATAGATTTCACCATCAGAATGATCAGAAACCGCATCCAAAACCTATGTGGAATGAAATATATACTTATATTGATTCATCTGAGCTGCTGATTTATATCGAAGTACCTACAAAATAATCAAAACATATTCCAGATACTATCCATTTTTTGTTTTCTTCGATCATTAAATTCATTCATTCAATACAGATACATATAATGACAGTAAGTCATGCCTCTCATCCTCGCCATGAAATTGAAAATACAAAGTAAATGTTAATATGCATTTAAAGATTTTGGAAATCATTTGTGAATGATAGGGATGGATTTTTGAATAACAGAACAAAGTGTACAAATGACTTGAATTCATCTTCACGCAGTTAGTTGTTGAAGATCGATGAAAATGAGTCATAACCGACCTATAGGTTATTCACTTCAATTTTCTAATGACGGTATTTAGTCCGATAAGTCTTTCAGGCAAGCCAACTTCGTATGAATTGCCTGCATGTCCATCTTGATAAGATACATAATGGCAACCATTCCCTCGAGCTATTAAAATCCTTGCGAAAGTTTTCCCAACTGAAACGTTTCTATATTCGCGTATTCGGGTATTCGCCAGAATTCGGGTATTCGGTTGGGTATATGCGAGAGCCACACAAATCAAATTAATTATATAAGAAGGGTACTTGACTATAGCACGTCAGTTCTTATTACATCGCATTCGTTCTTCAGATGAGATTTTCGTGGAATATCATATGTGAGGATTGTGAGAAAAAAAAACGATTACATTTTCGGAATTTCTTGGTAGAGACTGTAGAGAGAATGAAAATTTATCTGTGTTCTAGATTCCCGCATATTATGTGTTAGTGGAGAAGAACTCACGGCTTCATTTTGGGTATTGCTCCTGAAATTCGGAATAATTTTATTTGTGAATGAAGGGTGGCACAACAGGGCGTCCAAATTCCATTGCTCGATTTATATGGCAGAAGGATGGTAGTTAGAAAACTCGAGTGGATCAGACTGAAGAGCCGATAGACCCTGAAATTATATCCGTATGTACCGGGTGTACCACTAAGAAAGTACGCCGGCTGTATCTCGGAAACTATTTGCCGCACAGGTTCTGGAAAAAAATAATTATGATAAAAGTGGCCAAGGAAAATCTCTGGAAATTATTTTCAAGTTTCCAGGAAAGCCGCTAGAGGGCATAATTGCATTGGTCAACTTAAAAAAACGGGTTTTTATGAAAATTTTATATATCAAGACATATCAGAAACACTTTTTCCATGTTCTCGAGTTGATTTCCAATCATTTCGATCAAAAAAATTGCGCTAGCTCTTTAAATAAAAGAGGAAGGTGTGGATGAATAGTACTCTGGAAAAACTCTTATTACTACAGTTTGGTGTAACGGAATTGAGCGATCTTGGTCTCATTATGAAGGGTTTTTCAGATCTTCTCGATAAATCACGAATCAAGTCGATTTAAATCCCGTGATGGCCGCTAGATGGAATCGTTTGAAAAATCAGCCGATTTGCCATTTTTTTTTCGAGAATTTCAAATGGAACCATATATTTTTACTGCTATGATATGGAAGTAAAGAAAACGAGAAGAAAAATGATAAAAACCGCGAGTTGATACTTCTTGATGAACCGGAGAAATACTCGGAATATTATTAAAATTCAAACTGTTATCACGTCAAATGCCTCCTCATTCGTTATCGGCATTTTGACAAATAAGCAATACACAGTGAAAACTTCCAATGGAACTTCAATTGTATTTTGAGGTTCCTTTCATTCAAAGCCAACTTACCTTTTTTCATTCCTGAGCTATACTCACTACTTACATTTCAATTAGCTATGTCATTACTAAGAGTCTCCTTCACTATTGTGAGATATAACAGCAGTTTGTGAAACCAAAATAAATGAATTATTGGAATCATTTCCGAGATACAGCTGGCGTCCTTTCTTAGTGGTACACCCGGTATATAAGGGGAGACGGAAAAGCCTCAAAATTGTTATTTATGTAACAAGGATCATATAGACGATCATTATGGTACAAGTCGTGAATGTTATCTGACGAGGCGTAGCCGAGTTATTGCCACTTTTTTGAATTAACCTCATCCTGGAGAATATACCAGACATTGTTTTCGGCAATCGTCTGCTTCATTTTCGGCTGATTCTGAAGCTGATCTGTATACCGTGAAACGCCATGGCGGATGAAAAAACAATACCACTAATGAAAACTGTCATCAACTACTGATGTAAAAACTCTAGAATCCAATGGAATCAATATTGCAAATTGTAGTAAATGCTCTTTTACCATTTATAATAAGTAGTTTTGTACATAGTTATATGCATTTTGAATAAACTTGTTTGATCTCACCATTACATGTTTTTCATATGGAATTGCATTATGGTACTTAATCCCATAATGAATTCATTATGGGACTAAGTACCATAATGAGCTTCTTCATGTCATCAACATGATATAACGTTGTCATTATGACATGCCATCAGATAAATTCCTTTAATATACATTGCATTCCTTCCAAAATGGACTCTGCCTACTTATTCTGAAGTAATTTTCCGTCATAGTCTCTCCGATCTAGTTTACTGCTGTTTCCCAATAAGATTTTCTTGTATCATAGAAATCGAGGAATCGAGCTGCAACGCCCTATTGCTCTATAGAATTATACATAATAATACCCTGAATACGGTCTTTCATTCTGTACATTATGTGCTGTGTAAATTCGAATTTCCTGGGTGTCTTTCAACATAGTTAGAATCGATATCACAACGTATTCATGATATTTCCTCTCACCCAAATGATCACCGAATTTAATGATCCTCATCATTCTCAGCTCGTTCGCATCAAATAACCCTACTGCTTCTGTCCCTTTTTCTTTATTACCCTCATTTCATTTCTCCAGCTATGAACGAGCACGATGAAGCTGTTTTAATTCGAGTAAATTGAGATGATATCATACCCATCGAATATAGATGTCACAAATTCATTTTGAGGCAATTTGATATTCTCCCAATTATTATTCGTCTACGAGTAACAGGAATCACTTGAAATAACATTGACTATAGTATTGTATTTTCCATCGATATGGAATGCAATGGAGTTCTGGAGTTTTCCAGGATTTTCGAAAAACTTATCAGGTTTTATGAATTTTTCCATAATGTTGAAAATTCAAATGGAACATTTCATTTCGTCCTATACGATCCAAGCTTTTTTCAGTCGACCCGGTCAAAGGGGGGGGGGGGCTTGAAGAAAATCAATGTATGTATATACATGGTGTGAATATGGATTTTTTATTTCTGCAGAAGGTACATGAACATGAGGAACGGATTTATTACTAAAAACAAACGAAAAGCAGACCTTCTAGATGTAGTCTATAATGAGTATATGCTCTACTTGAACTTAAATGGCATCGAGCTGATAAAATTTCCCAAGCTGTCTTGAAAAATTGCCTCAAATTATCGTTGAAGGATGAATCGCAGCTCTTGAATTGTCTCTGACAATAAGGACGGACGAAGGCAAATGTGCCTCTGGAGTTCATCCCAAAGATGATCTATAGGTTCTGAATTATCATTGTTGATAAAAATTTAAACAATCCATATTTTCTAAAAACGTTTGAAAAGAGGATATCGACATGATTCAAGTACCATTTTGTTGAGAAGGGACGAAAAGGGATCACACGTCAATCCAAAATATGATGAAGCAGAAGGTTGGAGAATGGTTCTGAATTATTATTAATAACAATTTGAAAAATCCATTCTTTCTGAAACCACTTGCATCTTTTTCGAGAGATAAGATACACTACACACCATTTTACCACCAACCGAACCGAAAAGTGAGTTTTAATCTCCTTCTGAAGATGCTGACATAGTAAGCGAAACACGTGTCGAGGTTTGAAAAATCGGTTTGGTTGGTGGTAAAACAGTGTGTAATGTTAATAAGGGATAACACTTCGATCTGAAACATGAAAAAGCTAAGTTTAACCACCCATCTTTGCCACAGAACGATAAGAAGTTATGGCTGAAAGAGTAACTTTTATTTGTTCCCTGTATACTGATCAAGCCATCACGAACACAAATTTACAATTTGATCGTAATTTCATCAGAATCGGACAAGAATTAAAAATGTCACAGGAAGACTAACAAAATCTAAAAAAAAAAAACATGCACAAGAAATTTGTAATAGTTTGTACCCTACCTCCCCCCAAGTGGAGAATCCCACTTACGCGTAAAATTTCTGAATAATTGTTACCCCTTCTTAATAAACATGGAATATTCTGAGTATAATATGTGCAAATTTCATCATCAGGGACTCACCTTTGAGGGTCATCTGATCGATACGAAACACTATCACATTTTTTCTGTAAAACGGTGTGGATTTTCATAATCCGAGATTGAATTGTCGAAAAATATGTATACAAAAAAGTTTTAGCAATATTTTAGGTAGTCTTACCCTGTATTGAACACTACTGGATGACATTTTGAAATGATATCATTTTCACTGCAGTGGGCATAGAATGTTTAGTCTT